GAGGGATCAAGGTGGGTTGGGGAGGAACAAATGTGGAAAAATACAGGGATAAAGGGAAAAAAGAGGTTAGTTGCATGTAAACAGGCCCTGTGCCTGATCTGTGCAGTCTGTCCTGTCTTCTTACTCTCCATTTTCAGATCTTTTCCTGGGTGATGGTCTCTCTTGTGTGTGCACGCGTGGCTATGGGGGTGTGAGTGCAGCAACTGGGGTGGGACCACAGGTTAGAGGACCCATGGGTCTGTGCTGCCAGCAGCTGGAGGGAGCGTGGGTGTACATACTGTGTGGGTGCATTATGTCAGTGTGTGATCGCTAGGGAAAACCACACCAGCTGGTGAGTAGGTGAAGTGTGTGTGTGTGTGTCTCATGGAGGAGCTGGCTGCCAGAGGGACCAGGGGGTTCAGGCCAGCTGCCGGAGAGCCCCTGGGGTCTGGGGGTCGACTGAGACCCATTTGTGAATGTGTGTGTGCGCATGTGTGTTTCTCTGGGCAGGAGGCAGTTGGGAAGAGCAAGGATTCAGGACCAGCTACTGAAGGGATCCACATTGTACACGTGTATTTTTATATGTATTTCGCACTTTCAGACCTTCACCCTGATTTGCACAGAGGGGAGTGGGATGAGGCTGTTGGTGCTGCTTGTGTGAGCGCTGAGTGTTTCTGTTGTGATCAGTGAGGCCATCAGTGCATACGCATGCCGTGTGTGTGTGTGTGTGTGTGCATGTGTGTGTGTGTGCATGTAAATTATTATTCTCCATGCTCAGCCTCGCTGCGGGCTGGACCCAGGGGCGTGGAGCTGCAGCAGCCTTGCCTCTGTCAGGCTACCAGATTTAGCAACTCCCTACCAGGCTATAATCAATCATGAAAATATTTGTCCTGAAAGGCAGGACATAGTTTTATGAAAGTGTAGGCTTTTGGCAAGAAAGAAGTACCTGTTTTTGACAGAGAGACGCCAAACAAGCAGGTGAAGAAAAGTGGGCTTGGCTCCGGGATTCCATGGCTGCATGACTGCCCTGTGGTGGATGACAGCTCTGTGCGTTTGCCATACTTTCCTAGGTAGGAAAAAACAAGGGAGGTGGATTAGTAAAGCAATGTGGTGGTCAAGTGATAGAGCTAAATGGGGTCTTGTACCTGGAAATAATTGAGAAGCTTCTGGGGGAGGGAAAGACAGCACTTTCCCACTGAGACAGGGTTAAACGGGTATTAAAAGGTCATCAAGATACCCTACTCAGGACTGGATTAACACTATCTAAATTATTATTCTTCAAGTGTTTGTCCAGTCTGCTTTTAAGTACAGCAATGCTGAATTTCCATGGGGCATTTGTCCTCTTACCCGACTCTCCCTACTGTTATAAAGCTTTTCTGCATCTCAGGAGGAGTCAGAGTGAGGTTTTTATTCACACTACCACTGCAAGGGCAGTATCTCCTCTCCACAAGCAGGAGATTTTTAACTCAAAAAGAAAAAAAAATAATGTATTTTTTGTATTTCTACCTTCTGGATGAAGTATGGATGTTAAAGAGAATGCAGCAGGGCAGCCCTCAAAAAATGTCTAAGAAAATGCAGTTGTTCCTACTCCACGCATGCCATAAGCCAGATCTATCTAAGCAAAACTGGGCTGGCCAGGACTACATGTTGGTACTCATTTATATTGGGATAAGTAAGTAACTCCCATGTCTAAGCCAGTGAAACAAATGGTAGGAGTCTTCTTAACGAGAGAGGAAATCTAGAGTTAGGAGAAATGAGCAATAAACTCTTTTTAAATCAAATTTCCTTTAATAATTCATGAACTTAGTTGTATATTAAGAGTTTCAGGAAAAGAAAACAAAACACAGAAACTATCACATTGCAGCCAAACCTTTTCTGATACTTTTGAGGAAAGAATAAACGTTTTCCCTGAAATCATAAATTTCCAGGAGAAATATAATATTTGACAGAAAACTCATGAAAACATTCTGAGTTAAAATTGTTGACCTACTGCAAGTGAATCTTCTCCAGTCAGCACGGTGAAAAGATAACCTGTCGTATCAACAGCCACCTCCCAGAATAACTGCAACTTCTTTTATGTCTTCCCTCTAATGAGCCTCAGTGAAGGCCCCTCTCAGCTGTACTTAGCAGTCAAGTATTTCAAGTGGTCTCTTTCTTTACGCTAGTAATGGTATTCGATATCTTTTCTGTGCCACTGATTGTCACAGAAACCAGAAGTTTAGGCTTAGCACGTATACCTCCTGAAAATAGATATCTGGGGACTAAAAGATACGGCTGTAGCCATTCAGAGGTAAGCTAAAAATAATTACTTCCTTTTGAAAAGAAATTAATTCTAAGGCCCTAGCTCTGTGCTGTCCCTAAGCACTGTGCCAAGTAAAACTTGACTTAAGCATGTGTTTTGCTTTAAGCAAACACTTAAAATGGATTTGCAGACTAAGAATGGATTTCAATTTAAGCACATGCTTAAGTGCTTTGCTGAACCAGGGACCGAATACCTCAGTTCCTAACCCGCTGTGTATAGTGAGTCTTGGCATCTGTGTTGTAATTTTAAAGATATACAAGGGTTAGTGGAAATACTGAGGTAGCTTTGCTCATTTTAGGTGAAACTGGCAAACGTTAAGGGCTTTTAGGAAAAATATTTTTTTAAATGGTCACATTTATAGCATAAACCAGTAGGCTTTATTGGCAGCAAGCATCTTTCCCAGTTATTTGGTACATTCTAAATGTGTGGCTCATCACATGGCAAAAAATATTTCCTCTCCACTGGTATGCAGTGGAAGGGGAATTAGACACAAGAAAGGCATTCAAAAGATAGCAA